CCTCAGGACCCCTCCTGCCTCTCCCTCGACTCCTACTGAGACAGCCAAGGAGCTGATAACTCCAGAGAGTGTGCCACGTTGTATGCAGACACGGTCCCAGGAAGGGGAGCCAGGGAGAGGGAGACCCACCATCTCTGTCCTGAGCTTCCTGTAGGATTGCACTAGTCCCAGACTACTGCTGCCCCCTGGTGGCTCGATGCACTGCCACCTACAAAACCCCACCAGCCTTACCCTCTAAGTAAATAGATAATGACATGAGTGTCATTTTAAATTTTCCAGTACACATGTTAAAAGATAAAAGAAGTGAAATTAATTATAATTATTAATTATAATACTTCTGTAACCCAATATATCCAAACTATGAACATTTCAACGTGAGATGAAAAGATTATTAATGAGTTAATCTACATGCTTTTTTCCACTTGAAATGTGGAGTGTATTTCACACCTGCAGTACACTTCAATTCATAGAAGCCCAGCAGCTTATGTTTCCATTTCTGTTTCCCATACCTTTTCTCACCCCCCGAAGGTAATGTTATCCAATATTTTTAGGGCACCTATGTTTTTCACTACAGCCCACCCCACGAGGTCGGGGGTGGAATTTGCCACTTGTAGGAGCGTGTCAGGGCTCAATCCGTTTCAGGTTTCAGATTTTTAGGATTCGGGGCACTCAGCCTGGATCTGTTCACTCTGCCTACACCATTGCTATCACCCTCGTCCAGGCCAACACCACGTTGCCTGCTCTGTGAGTGAGTCCCAAACCCTCCCACTTCTGCCCCCCTGCTGCCTTCTCACGTCCTGCACACCCAGAGCAGCCAGAGGGAGCAAACCACTCCCCTGCCCGTGTGCCACCTCCAGCTTCCCGATGCTTCTAGTAAAACCCAAACCCCTCACCCAGCTTTGCCACACTACCCCCATTACCCGGCAACTCACTGCCCATCACTCTCCCACTGCCTCCAACCTGCTACACTCATTCCCACTTCCTGCCCCGCCCCCCCGCCTGGAACGTCCTTCCTGGCTGGCTCCACCTCATCAATCAGATCTCTGGGCGGCCCTCCCCCACCTGCTTGTCTGCAACAGTCCCCTCATCCGTCTTCATATTCTATCCTATAACCTTGCTTTTATTGTCTTCACTCGCTGAAACTACTGGTCTGGCTGGTGGGTTGTTTTCTGTCTCTTTCTACCATAAGCTCCACAAGAGAAAAGATTTCCCTTATGGGGCCAGCACTAGGGCACAGCAGGCATCCCATGTCAGAGCTACAGTGAGAGTCCCAGCCACTAATGCACCTGGGAAGGCAGTGGAGAGAGAGAGAGATCTTCCACCTGCTGATTCGCTCCCTAAATGGCCACAACAGCCAGGACTGAGCCAGAATGAAGCCAGGAACTCCATCAGGATCTCCCACGTGGGTGGCAGGGGCCCAAATCCTTGGGCCATCTTCCGCTGCTTTCCCAGACACATTAGCAGGGAGCTGGATCAGAAGTGGAGCAGCCGGGACTTGAACTGGCATTCGTATGGGATGCCAGCATCACAGGCGGGCAGCAGCTTAACCCTCTGCGCCATGACACCAGTACCCCATGCTTTAGTCTCCGTCTGAGCACCCTCTGCGACCCTCGTGGCACAGGTCACAATCCTGACTTGAGCTTGTTAAGGTCGAGAACGCCCACCGCCCGAGGAACGTCTCCAAAAGACTTCTCTCATGCAAATTGCAAAGGGTTTTCTCTTATTTTTCCAGCATGCTGGGGCTCTCTGATCAAACCAGAACAGAGCAGCCCCGAGGAACTACAGCATAGGGTTTATAAAGGTAAAAACCGCAAAATCCGGAGGGGGGGGAATGCACGGTGCTATACATGGTTGCTAAGATCAAAAAGAGAGTACATAGTTTACTGGGGTCAACATAACCTAAGACCTAGGTGAAATTAATATCCATCATAATCTTGACAATACCAGTCACAATCGTACAATTATCATTTATGATCTTGACATTAATCCAAATTATATGTAAGACATAGACAAATCACATCTTTATCATTAACCCAGGTGCAACCTTTCTACTTTTAAGCTTGAGCAATCATGCTAGGGGGTTTTCTGTGCTCTGTCAAGGGTGATGTAGTGCACTGCTATTGTCCGACTATTTGAGATCATAGTTTCAGACCAGAGTCTCACGGTGGGGGTTGGGGGGTGCTTTCCCAGAATGCAGTCTCAAGTGCTCCAAAATGGAGTCCCTACTGTCAAGGTGCCACTTCAAGCTGATTCACTGAGTTTCTCTTTTTGTCGGCCCATCTAGACTCTGTACTTGCAGACTCTGCACTCCATAAACGGGGGCAATGAATGTGCAGTCCAAACCCTAGCCTGCGCCGATACCCAATAAATACCACTGAATGAATAACCGGCTCTTCCTGGTACTTCCCAGCCCTGCCCAGGTAAATGATCCCTGGACGAAATCCTACCAAGGACCCTATAAGAACCCTGCCTGTTCCTGGTGTCCTTGGGAGACCAGGAGCTATAGCTCCTGCCTCATGGGACCACGCAGGCAGCTGAGTGTGACGGGAGCCTGGTACCCTGGCTCAAAGAATGGGGCAGAAAGAGGGAGAACCTTTGTCTCCAGGGTATGCCTGCCAGATGCTCATTCAAGCCCTGCCCTCCCTCCTCCAGTGTCACCAAAGCTCTCCTCCCAACAAGCGTCTTAAGACGGAGGGTTTCTGACCCCTGGTACCACGCTACCACCCGCCCCAGTACCCACCCCTATCCCACTGGGCTGGGTGTGAGGTCAAGGACTTCACTCCCACGAACCAGGTCCAGGCAACAGTCTGTTCCCCACCCCCACCACTGAATCCAAACAGAGTTCCATAATGCTCTTGGAGGATTCCACCCTCCCCCAGCCCCACCCCCACTCCAGAAATTTTCCTTGTGTTCAAATCTCAGACATTTGAGATCTTGTAGTCTGAATTCCTGCCTGTTACAGAAGCCCAAAGAGAGGGGCTGGGGATTGTGGCTTTGCAGGTAAAGCCACCTCCTGCTGCGCTGGCATCCCACAGGGGAGCGCCGATTTGTGTCCTGGCTGCTCCACTTTTTTTTTTTTTTAAGATTTATTTTATTTATTTGAAAGACAGAGTTACAGAGAGAGGTAGAGACAGAGAGAGGGGTCTTCTTCCACAGAGAGAGGGGTCTTCCATCCACTGTTTCACTCCCCAGATGACCACAACAGTCGGAGCTGTGCCGATCTGAAGCCAGGAGCCAGGTGCTTCTTCCAGGTCTCCTACATGGGTGCAGGTGCCCAAGGACTTGGGCCATCTTCTATTGCTTTCCCAGGCCACAGCAGAGAGCAGGATTGGAAGAGGAGCAGCCCGGACTCGAACCAGCACCCATGTGGGACGCCAGCGCTTCAGGCCAGGGCATTAACTCACTGTGACACAGCGCTGGCCCCACTACTCCACTTCTGATCCAGCTCCCTGCTAATGCCACCTGTGGATGGAAGCTCTCTGCCTCTCCTCTCTCTCTGTAACTCTGACTTTCAAATAAATAAAATCTTTAACAACAACAACAACAACAAAAGTAGAAGCAGCAGCCCAGAGAGAAGAAGGGATTTCTCCTGGGTCACAGACCCATGGCCAGAACCCCAAGCGCCTGTGGGTGCAGGTCACAGTCCATGGTTTCCCGTGGGGCCCAGGGACTGAGGCCACCCTGCCTTTTCTTTCTTTATTTTTTTAAGATTTATCTTACTTATTTGAAAGGCAACAAAAAAAAGAAAAGAAAAAGAAAAAAAAGAACTTAATACTTTACTCTTTTAGTATTTTTTATGTTCTACTTAAAACTATTGGTTGAACTCTGTAATTAATACACAATTACTCTTAGGTGTTTAATTAATGCTACAACTAGTACTCAAATAGTATTTTACACTTTGTGTTTCTGTGTGGGTGCAAACTGTTGAAATCTTTACTTAATATATGCTAAATTGATCTTCTGTATATAAAGATAATTGAAAATTAATCTTGATGTGAATGGAAGGGGAGAGGGAGTGGGAGAGGGGAGTGTTGTGGGTGGGAGGGAAGTTATGGGGGGAAGCTATTGTAATCCATAAGCTGTACTTTGGAAATTTATGTTCATTAAATAAACCACAATATGGTTTCATTTCACCCCTATTAAAAAAAAGAAAGAAAGAAAGGCAATGTGACAAAGAGGGAAGCTGAAGAGAGAAAGAGATCTTTCATCTTTCCGGTCATTGGTTCACTCCCCCCAGTAGCCACAACGGCCAGGCTGAGCCAGGCCAAAGCCAGGAGCCTGGAACTCCATCCGGCTCTCCCATGTGGGTGGCGGGGCCCAAACACTTGGGCTAACCTCCGCTGCTTTCCCAGGTGCACTCGCAGGGAGCTGGATCTGAAGCCGAGCAGCCAGGACTCAACAGGATGCCGGCCGTGCAGGTGGCGGCTTAACCACCGCACCACACTGCCGGCCCATCTGCCTTTTCCTTCCTCCGTTCTCCATCTCAGGAAGACCACGGGAGTGTGGTCATAACCTCCCCTCCCCTGAACTTCACCTCCATTGCTTCATCTCCAACCCACAGCATGGGGCAGGCTAAGGGGGCAGGAGGAGAGTTAGGGAGACCCTTTCCCATCTGAGAAAGGGCCCACTGGAGCTCAGAATGGCTAAGTGACTGGCCCAAGGCCACACAGCGAGGCAGAAGCCACACCAAGACCAGACCCCAGGTATCCGGCCTCCAGCTCAGGTCCCGGGGGGCGCTGGCAAAGGCCAGGAGCTGGGCCACCCACCAGGCCGCCCCTGACACACAAGAAGAGGGTAGCGACCAAAAGCACAGCCTCTCCAGGTGTGCACAGTGAGAGGCTGGACTTGGAAGCGTCTCTCCTCTGCTGCTCCAGGGCCAGCTCAGATGGACAGACGGACCTGTGGCGCGGCCACCGGCCTCTCAGCCTCCGCCTCTGCCTTCCTCCCCACCCCCACCCCCACCCCCGCCCCCACCCCCGCCCTACTTGCTACCAACTCACCGCGCGCGGCCTCCGCCCTCGCGGACCAGTTGCTGCACCCAAGTGGGACGCTCCATCAGTCTCTCAGATCCCTGCGCGGCCCTGCAGCGCCACCACGCGGCCGCGCCCGGGAGCGAGCAAGACCGATTCCGGCGGGAGTTTAGTGTGGGCGTGGCCTGCGTGGGAGGGGCTACGGCTTGACGTCAGAAGGGCGGGGCACTCCAGGAGCGCCCTTTCCGGGAAGTCAATTCTCTTCTGGGTCTGCTTTGCTCCACCCAGGGCCCCGTACTCCTGTAGACCTGTCTGGGGGACCTGACGCCTGGGGGACCTGCGTGTGCAAGTGCGGACAGGAGCTGGTGGGGTTTGCATTGATTCTGTAGCCGGGCCCAGAGCTGTCCTCTCGACCCCCAAACTTGCCGCTTCCACCCCACCCCTTCTGGTCCTCAGCCGCTCACCTGCAGACTCACCTGTCTGCCTTCCCAGTGGCCGGTCTGCGGCGTGGAGAACACCGGCGCGCCCCTAGGTGGCAGCAAAGGCCTAGAAGAAAAATGGTAGCAGGGTGGCGCCTCCCACCCTAACCCAGAAAGATGGGGCTACCTCCTAGAGGAGAAAACTGGGGTCCCTAGTGATTTGAGCCCTAACTTCCGCCCCAGGGAGCAGAGAGGCTAACGGGGAGGGACCGTGGAAATTGGCAGTTCAGAGCACGGGTGCCCGTGGCGGTGGACCTGTCCTCGTCTCCCTCTCTGGCTCCCTTTCTCTACCTATGAAACTCTGGGCAAGCAGGGTGTCTGCGCACTCGGCAGAATGCTTGGCACACCGCAAAGGCCCTGTCTTTACGATCATTAAGTAAAGCAAGGCCTGGGCGTTTGGCCTCACGGTTAAGGTGCCAGCTGGGGACACCCACCCACACCCCGTTTCCCTGTGCTTGGGTACCAGTCCTCGCTCCACTCTTATTCCAGCTTCCTGCTCGTGCACACCTGAGAGGCAGCAGGTGATGGCTCAAGAGGTTGGATCTTTGCCATCCATGTGGGAGATCCAGATTATTTAGGAAATAAACCAACAGGTGACTCAATCTTTCTCTCTCTCTCTCTCTCTCTCTCCCTCTCCCTCTCCCTCTCTTCTCTCTCCTTCCCTCCTCTCTCTCTCTCCCCCCTATCCAAACATGTTTTAAAAACTGAACAGAAATGTCAAGCAAGCTTCCACGGCTCACCAAGGCAGTGGTGCCCCTGGTTGGCATCTACACGTGATGTCTTTTTACTGTGTCCACAGCTGGGCTGCAGGCCCCAAGTCATTCAGTCAAACTCATTGTGTTTTAGTGGAGGTATCTTGTGCGTGCAATGAAAATCCATTATCAATTGACTTCGAATAAGGGGGAAGATCTTAAACAATCTGAGCGACAGTTGAAAGGCCTGAAAATCAAAGCTGAGGCCTCCCTGAAGGAGGAGGAGGAGGAAGAGGAGGAGGATGTTTGTGTATTTTATTTATTTGAAAGGCAGAAAAACAGAGAGAGACAGACAGACAGGCTACTAGAGAGCTTTCATTTCCTGTTCAAATGCCCACAGCAGCCAGGGCTGGGCCAGGCCAAAGCCAAGAGCCAAGAACTCAATCTGGGTCTCCCTCATGAGTGGCAGGAACCCAAGCACTTGAGCCGTCACAGCTGCCTCCCAGGGTGCATTTCAGCAGGAAGCTGGAGTCGGTGGGGGAGCCGAAACTCCAAGCCAGGCCCTCTGATAGGGGATGAAGGGGTGTCGTAACCACTGTGGCGAACGCTGCTCCTATTCACTTGTGTCTTGTTATTAATTTTGATTTAACAAAATATTTTATTTTTATTTTATCAGAGAATTTAAAAATGGGCATTTTCTATCTGCTGCAACAGCCAGAATTGGGCCAGGTCCAAACCAGGAGCCTGAAACTCACTCCATGTCTCCCGGGGAAGGGTGTGCATTGGCAGGAAGCTAAATCAGAAGCAGAGGAGCCAGGACCCACAGCAGGCACTCCAACAGGGGATGTGGGCACCACGGGCAGCAACCCAACCTCTGCAACAAACGCCCACCATGTCCACTCTTTTGTGGCCCAGGGTCCAGCACTTGGAGGCTGCAGCAGATCCATCGTTGTTTATTGATGGGTCTGGGAAAGGCACAGGGCCCTCTCCACCACGCCGGCCCCCAGGTCTCAGCTTGGTGGCTTTCCCTGCAGCTGCTTCTTCCCAAGGGAGACCAGGCTTATCCTCCCTGCAACCTCCTACTGCAAACCACAGTGCAAGATTGGGAATGAGGCTTGCAAACCACAGGCTGCTCCCAGACAGCTGGTGAGGAGGAGGCTTCTCTCTCAACACCCAGCTGGTCCCCGTACCCTGCCTCTCCCACTTCTATCCACAAGCCCAAACCCCTCTCTCTCCCCCAACCAATTTTTTTTTTTTGAAGATTTTATTAAGAGGTCTTCCATCCATTGGTTCACTCCCCCAAATGGCTGCAACAGCCAGGAGCCAGGAGCTTCTTCTGGGTCTCCCACGTGGGTGCAGGGGTCCAAGGAATGAGGCCATCTTCTACTGTTCTCCCAGGCCATTGCAAGAGAGCTGGATTGGAAGTGGAGCAGCCGGGATTCGAACCGGTGCCCAAATGGGATACCAGCACTGCAGGTGGTGACTTTACCTGCTATGCCAGTGCCGGCCCCCAGTAATAACTTTTAGGAGCGCCCTGCCTGGGACAGTCCAAGAAGCCAGAACAAGAGCAGCTGCACGTCCAGTATCCCTTATGGTGGTCAGCAGTCACCAACTACACAGCCCCCCACCCCAGCCAGCAGCTGCACAGGGCCCTGCCCCTCGTGCAGGTGGATTGGATGTCAGACTCTTCACCCACTGCCCAGGAAGGCCACAGTCCTAACTCAGGTCCCCTGTGCTGTCCTTGCTGCCTTGACAGGTTGTCTCCATGCCTCCCTCCGACCGATAGCCTAAACCTATCCGTGGGGTCTTCAGCAAGTGCTGGAACCCGCCTCCGATCCCCTCCCTGTGAGATGGGGCCAGAGAGGAGCCGCCGTCCCAGGGCTGCCGTGGGAACAGTAAAAAGCAGTTCTCCTGACCCTGATTAGGGGGTCTGTGACAGTGAGGGCCTCATAAACACAAGAGATGGTCGTTATCAGGGCTGGCACTGTGGCGCAATGGGTTAGGCTGCTGTCTGTGGTGCTGGCACCTCATAGGGCACTAGTTCAAGTCCTGGCTGCTCCACTTCTGATCCAGCTCCCTGCTAATGCACCTGGGAAAACAGCAGAAGATGACCCAAGTACTTGGGCCCCTGCACTCACGTGGGAGATCCGGTTGAACCTCCTGGCTCCTGGCTTCAGCCTGGCCCAGCCCTGGGTGTTGCAGCCACGTGGGGAGTGAACCAGCAAATGGAAGCCCTTTCTTGGTCTCTCTGTAACTCTGCCTTTCAAATAAACCTTTATTTTTAAAATTTCAAATAGAAACCTACTTCTGCACACCTTTAAAGGGACACTCTTGTTTAAGGCTGGCCTTGATGGTATGTGCCAGCTTAAACGTTAGACCCAAGTCGTACCTCCTGCCTCAGCTTAGTCCCAGCCCTGCCTCCCTCTCCTGGCCTGAGAGAGCTGCAGCCTCACTCCCCCAGCCCACATCACTCCAACAAGGAACCTTAGACCCTCGCGTCGACCCCCTGCTCAGTCCTTCAGCAAATCCACCTCCCCCTCCCAGATATATCCGCGCCGGCCCCTCCATCTCACAGCCACCTCCCAGTTCCCACCACCCACGCTTCCTCCTGCACTAACTCCTCTCCCACTCTTGAACACACAAGAGGTGGCATGATTTTCTTTAATGCAAACAGGATCCTGTCTCCTGTGGCTCAAAACCCTTCCTCCAGGCTGCCTTTGCTGGCAAGATGAAAGCCAAAGCCCGGCCCCCAAGGCCCTTCGAGGCCTGGCCGCTGCTGCTCTTCCCTCTCCTCCCACTCTGCCCCCTCCCGATCTCCACCTGCCCCCATCCCCACCCCAACCCCACTGGCCTCCTGCCTCCTCCTTTGGCACCTGCTGAGCCCTCTCTGCCAAAGGTCTTCTCCTCCACCCCACACTTGAATTAACTCCCCTCCTGCCCAGGCTGTTTCAGACTTCTCCAGAGTTCAGGTCCCCTTGCCTATATCATACACACACTCACACACATACATTGACACACACACATACTTACACTCACACACACACACACTCATCCCTGACACGCATGGGGAAAGCTGAAACCTGTACTCATTGGATGAGCCCTAAGTAAGAGAACAAAGCCAGGCACTTGCCTGGTGATGGGTGTTGGGGGCCCCATGTTCTGGCTGGCCTGTTATCACTGCCTAATCATGGAGGCATGCTCACTCAGGGTCCCAATTTTGTGACATTAGTTACTGGAAAGGAGATGGGGTTCACCCCAGAGCCCCTGCTCTTTCCCAGCCCCACAATGAATTCCCACGTTCCCCTGATAACACTCAAAGCCTTTTCTTTGTGCTCAGATTTTTCTTCGTAACATGCTCCCTGCACTGCCCTCCAAGCCCCACAAATATATAAGAGGTCTGTTTGCCCATTTCTCTGCGGAAGTGTCCTCCTAGAGAGTTGTCATGGCAACCGAATGATGTCACTGCCTTGGAAGCGGTTGCCTAGGAGATGAGTGGTGTCACTTCCAGGAGGCGGTTCCCATGGAAACCGTCTCAGTGGCTCTAGGGGGTGGCCAGGAAAGTGAAGGGGGCGGGTGGGGGGGTGAATGCAGGAAGGACCCAAGTGAAGGGTGGAAGGAGAGAGGGAGGAGGGGGATGGAGTCCAGGGAAAAGGTCAGGAAGAGGGGGAGGCCCAGCCTGGAGCAGGTGAAAAAAAAAAACGCAGAACCACAGCATTCCACACGTGGAGAGGTCTCCGAGCCCACCGAAGCAACAGCCTCATTTTTTTTTTTTACTTTAAAGGTTTATTTATTTATTCGAAAGGCAGAGTTAGAGAGAGGCAGAGGTCTTCTATCCGCTGGTTCACTTCCCAATCTGCCAGAGCTGGGCTGATCTGAAGCCAGGAGCCAGGAGCTTCTTCTGGGTCTCCCACTTGGGTGCAGGGGCCCAAGGACTTGGGTCATCTTCTACTGCTTTCCCAGGCCACAGCAG